CCACTGCCGAGGTGGCTAAAAGCGTGTACCGGTTCAGCGCTTCTGTTCGAAGGATCACGGGTTCGAGTCCCTCCTTGGGCATGGTTGTTTGTCCCTTGTCTTTCATGCATGTGTTGTCGCGGAGGTCCTCGCGTTCTGCTGAACCCCTGATCAGAGGAGACCGCAAGTGTGTCAGTGTCTAGTGTGTGGTCGAATATGCGACCCATCAGGACGTAAAAGAGTAACCGGCCGTCAGCAGAATGAAAGTCCTAAGAAAAAAATAAGTTTATTTTCAAGAGAATGCTCCAAGAATAATATAGACAGTCGGTTTTTACATTCATATTTATTGATCAAACTTTTGAAATTAAAACTGACTGTCTATAAATTATATCCGGTACCATACTCCTGAAAATATAAGTTAATCAGACAATCTAGGGAACTAACCTACAAAATAGTGTTAATTTCAGAATATAAAACTAGACGGTGTCAGTCACTAGGTGATTTGCGTTGCCGCTCTTGAGTACACCGCTCTTGAGTGCACTTGCTGTCTACGTGATTTGCGTTGCCGCTCTTGAGTGGACCGCTCTTTAGTGCATTCGTTCTCTACGTGATTTGCGTTGCCGCTCTTGAGTGCACTCGTTATCTACGTCATTTGCATTGTCGCTCTTGAGTGCACTCGTTCCCTACGTGATTTGCGTTGTCGCTCTTGAGTGCACCGCGCCCAACAATGTGCCTTTGCTCGTTGCGCAGGTGAGCGCGCGGACGTGGTGCTGCGCGCCGACCAGCGGCCCGGCGCGTACTGGCTGCGCGCGACCACGGTGGACGGCTGCGCGGGGCCCGCGCTGCGCGGCGCCGCCGTGCTGCGCTACGAGGGCTCCCCGGACAAGTTGCCGCCCACCGACGCCGACGCGGACGCCGACGCCGCCCTGCGCGACAACGACGTGGCCGCCGAGGACGCGCCGGTGAGTTAGGACGAAATATACAGAAATGTTGTATGCATTAAGTACAGTAAGACTTGCTCAATACGGAACGTGTGTAATGCGCAAATCTGGCAAATGTGAACACAAATCGCTGTCCCGGCAAACGTATATTCCGCTGTATTACATTGCATGAAAATAAAATACTGCTCTCCTGAAATTCGGCATTCAGCAAGTTTTACTGTAAACTTATTATATATTATTATATTATATAGTATTGCATAAAATTATATTATTATATATTGTTATTATTATATATTATTATATTATTATATATAGTATTTTATTATATATTATTATATAGTTTTATTATTATATATTAAATGTTATATAGAAAGATTAAGTTAAGAAGGAACTGCTTTGGCAATTTCTGCTTGGCCACTCCTGGCAACATTCCAACTGCAGTTTATGTCCACACCCTAATTTTGTCTGTGCGTTCGTTCACAGTTAGTTCAATTGTAAATGGATTCATCGCTACCTCTTGCAATGGCATCATCCTGCATTATGTTAATGTGTTTCCCGACCTGTCAAACTGGTCCCTTCTCATAGTAATTCCTCTACAACTGTACTCGAGTAGAAGTTCAAATACAATTTTATTCGTAGCCCAATTCAAATAGGCAGGTCATCACCAAAACACTCCACCAAATTAGTCGGCCACTGTTCCGAAAACCAAGTCCAAAAACACACACCACAATATCCTGGAGAAAATACCATTTTAACAGACATAAGTATAATACCAGTAGTGAACCAGTCTGACGAGCGCATGAGCGGGAAAAAAGAGTTGCTCCTTATATCTCGTCCTCGTCAGTGGAGCGGTTCTCCGCCCCTCCTCGCTGCACGTCATCTGCTCTCCGCCGCTGCCCCTCTTCTACCCTGGGGACGGGTATCTGCTCCGCCTGGCTCGCAAGTATGTCAGAAACAACAGCCAGCCCTCGGTGAAATGTTCCAAGAAAGGAGACAGAAATTAAACCGCAACAAACGTTTATTCAAGGATTTATAACGTACCAGTTCCGAATCAGTACCATATACGTTGTCCATGTTCAGCGTACCCAGGAAAGAAAGCTGTGACCGTAATCAGGTGCCAAGATGTCAGAAGATGTCCAAACACATAGCGCATGCCACAGTTTCAGCAGAAGAATACCCAGTTCACTTTAATCACTAAGGGGTGGATTTTGATTACCTAAAACCACCAAAAATGATCATTACAACGCTCTTAAATTGCTTGAAAATGACGCAAAAAATTTGAACAAAACCACCTTGGATGAACAACTCAAGCTGTTGCATATTTTACCAATGTAATTGAGGCGTCTTTCTTTTGTTCAAGTGAACTAAGCTTGCAAACGGTTGGTTGAGATTGTTCTTTACAAACAAATCTCTGTCTTGGTTTATCGCAAAAGTGGCCGAACTTACAATGACGTCGATACGCGTCCCAGGAACCTTAGATTATATAGTACTCACAACGGCATACATTACAATATATGAGCGAAGAAATCCAAAAGGCTACTCAGTAATTCTGTGGTGAACATATGTTGCATCTCTTAAATATTGTTTGAAGCAAGTACCATAAAAACGATATTAAAATGTATGAAATCAGAAGAAAATGGATTAAAAATTAGATGAAAAGGTGCAAAAGTGACTTATTAGTCGAAATAGACTAAATATGCAAAAAAAAAAAATGACTTATAAAAATTGGTAATTTCGTTTTATCACAACATAAAATGAATATTCTAAAGGACATTGTTCTAAAGTAAAAAGGAAAAAAATGACATTTCACTAAAATCCGCTCCCTAATAATCAATAACCGTCAGATGCAATCACGACACGTCGGGTAACTCTCTCCAAATCAATCGGAGTGGCTCTGGTGCCCGAAGGCTCTTTTATACGCCCGGTGACGTCACGCGGAAACTCGTCCTGGGGCTTCCCGTTACGGAGCAAGCTCGGGTCCGGTTGCCCCGCCCCGAAAACGCAGGCTATATTCTACCCTGCCCGCGCGTGGCTCATTTAAACATCCCACCCGTCCGTATATTACACCTCGGCACGGCGATGAGGTGCTCTGCATGGACGCGGAAATTGGTAGGCAAAATCAGGATTGCATGGATCTAAATTTTTCTTTAACGCCTGAAAAGTGGCGCCATATCTCTTTCTAAATGTCTTCAATGTTTTTTTTTTAATGCTTAATTAATTTGAACAAACATACCGTAGGCGTACGCAAAAAGTAATCTAAAAATTGTATTTCGCAGGAGAACGGTTTTATATTGAGTAAAGTTGTTTAATTCGTGCTTAAAGACAGTGTTTTGCCACTCACTGGCTGTTTTGTGAACTACATTAATAAAATTTGACAACTTTGACAAAAAGTGACAACTTTTGAGATGAATCACATATCTTGTACATGAGTGATATGTTTTTTCATTCACATTTTATAGATTTTAATTATGAAAACAACTATCATTGATTCATGACAGAAAAAATATAATTTCAAATAATACCATACTAAATTATTCGAAAATATTTATTTCTACATTTATAAATACATAAGACGGATTTGAGTACAAGTAAGCAATGTCTGTGATGCATTAATGAAAAAAAGATGCCATATTTTCAAAATTTAGGTCAAGGTAATGAGATTGTTGATGATGGAAATGTAACAAATGTCCAGAATCGTTAAAATTTCTCTCCAGTGCCCTGGTTACATACAGATACAGACCTGTGTCATATGGCGTTAATTACCCAATGTTGCTTGAAGTAATTCAAATGCTAGTCGCCTGTTAACTCTTCACAAGTCTACACCGTGAATAGAAGATTTTGAACCAAAATAAAATGTAATGTTGTTCCCTTTTAGGCGCCAACTCACTGTCCAGAATATGAAAATCATTTAGATGATGTTGTACGACACACATATTTAGAATTCGTCGAAGAATTAATGATAATTCCACCGGGGAAATTTAAAAGTCATTACTGTACCAAAAGTGAGTAAACACTTTGTTGTGTTTTTTTATGAAGGACAAAAATAGATGAAACGATGATTTCAGGCAACTTACCAAAAACAGAGCCAAATATTGTACATAGAACATTCGAGAACCTTTTTAAATGTAATATTGTCGGTCTTTTTATATTAAGATTTCAGAGACGACAGCAGAGCTAATGTAGTTGTAACATGTTCACGGAAGCGATTTGAAGCCAAGAATGCAGTTCAGAATTTAACAGTTACCGTGTGACTCATTCTCTTTATTTTTATTTCGAAACAAATAGAATGGAGTTCCGAAAGTCACTCCCCCAACAGACGGAACATTGTCATTTAGAGGCACGCCGTCTCACCAAGTGACTTATTTACTTCGCATTGTGTGTCAATGCTAATGGGGGGGGAAGACGTTTACTGCGAAGTCATCACGCAGTGAAGGCGTTTTGGCGGAACGAGTTCCCAGGCGCAACATGCGGCGGCTTCATATCTGAACGCCTGCGGGGATACTCAACAGGACCCGGGCGGCAGCCGACCCAAACGTAAACAAGGGGCCATCAAGGAGCCTTAGGGCGAGGAAAAAACAAGGTGTGCCAAGGTGCAGTTGTGTTTAGTTACAAGTATGACTGACATGAGCGGAGTGTGTTGATGAAGTATGACAGTAAGACGTGTGTCATAATAAGGAGAACGCGGTACTAACGAACGACGAAATAGTGACAATAGGGCTATGAATTGGAAGGAAAAAGAAGGGCGAAGAGGAGAGACTCCATTTGCCAGGGTACCCTGTAGTGGTCGTAGGTTAGCTGAGATGTTGAAAGTGTCTTCCCGGGTATTGAAATAAACCGAAGTTGCAAGCCGAATGAAGCAGGTATGATGGAGGAGCAGGGATTGTAGTTGGAATACAGAGGGTGGCGGGGAAGCGACGGGAGCAGATGAGAGGAAACAAATGAGGATAATCGAAGGATAGCGGAAAGAAACTAAGATATGAGGTGGAGGACGACCAGTAGAACGTAATGGACGTAGACAGCGATGGAAAAAAACATCTAAAAGAAAGGCGGTGTTTGCTGCGTAGTATCAAGTAGCGGCCAATGGCTGGACTAGAAAGGCTATTGAGAGATGAGAGCGAGACACAGACAGATACGCGCAGTCACGCGCAGCAGGCCACTTATTCTTTGCAGCGCCACATCTCTTCAGGGAGTCGCAACGCCGTACGGGAAGTCTTTGTCGCCTGTCGCCGGGGGTGAATTGTTTTCTCCCAAGAAAGAAAATACGATGCGGGGTTTATTAGTGAGAAAGCGTGGTCGTAGAAGGAACTTTCCGACTCCACTGTTGGCCTTAAATGCTCGTTCTTCTGAACGCCATATATTCGTGGAATTCCTAACGGTGCAGGGTTTTTCATGAGCTGTTGTAAAAAGCAAGTTTTTGAAGTATTTTCTGAGGCATCGTATGCACTTGCTTCTGATTTCAATTAACATTTTAGAAAACTTCTTATGTTACAATGATCTTAACTTTTCACAAGATCAGTAAGAAAAATAAACGATAATTTTTTATTTATGTTTATTTTGATAAGGACCTTGAGATCTCTGTGTTTCGAATTTTTATTGCACATCTCTGAAAAAAAAAAACTTCAGTAGTGGATCAATCATTTCGTAGACAATATCTTTGAAAAGAACGACGACGATGAGTGTCAACGTTTATACAGCACAACACCTCTTCAAACAATTGTTCTGGCATCTATGGAAAATTATAAAATGTTATATCAAGCCTGAAGGTCGACAGTACTTTCTTTGTATCATCGCTTTCAAAAGGTTAGTAAGAAGCAGTGACATTCTGTTAATTACGAAGCAACAAATGATGTGTGCGGAAGGTGATGATGATAGTAATAAAGTAAAAAGTAGTTACAAAATTATGCTATTAATTTTAATCATTACCCTTTAATAAATTTTATTTTATTTGTAACTAGATGACGTATCCAACGTTACTTGGCGATGCACTTATCACATACACGAAGTAGACTGAGAAGCGTATTAATTCTTTCTACAAATTAATTCAAATTTGCCATTTTACTGCAAAGATGGGGATTCTGTTATCAGTATAATACCTTATCTGTGAAAAGAAATTTGAAAATCGCTACCGTTTGGAAATTATCTGACAAGAAATATTAAACCGAATATGAACAGTCAGAGTATTTTCCTAGTAATGCACTTGTACTTTTCTGCTTTAAGATATAACGCGTTTTCCACATTAACACGATGATGTCTTATTTTCGTACAATAATTGTAGCATAAGATAAAACTTGTGATATTTTGTACGCCAAGCGCACGATAATGCAAACGAAATTATGAAACTGAGTGTCGCACATTCAACACTAAGGTCGTCACATTCACGATTTCTCCAAAGACATCGCATTGGTACAGAGAGGTTTTCTCCTTCGCGGCGGTTCATCAACTGTGCATTGAAAGTTCCATAGGGCGCGTTATTGTCCTTCGCTGGCGGGAATATGCTTACAATTTCGTAATAACAGCTTATCACACACGAAATTTCATCTCTTAATACAGCTAACATTTTCGAAGACAATTTAGAACCCCTATGAATAGTGTAAAATGGAAATAATCTTATTTACACCTCTGTTATCTCACTCAACCTCGCCCCCACGCTCCGTCCACATTGATGTGTTGAGGGGTTGCACACTCAAAATTATACTGGTTTATCTGTGTAAAAAATCATTACAATTGCTTGGGCTGTTTAGGAAGAGTTAGCCGTCAAATTCTCTTAATTACATTTTGGAACCTCCATGTTTGAAGATCTCGTATTTCGTGTAAACTCGTGGCCATACTCGGCAATTTTCGGAGAAGTTTGTCCTACGAATGAATGCTTTCCAAAGTGTCATTTGTTTCCTAGCTATTTCGTATTCTGCTCTCAGGAATGTTTGAGATTCGCGGAACTAGAATGTTGTGGCTAGTTTATATTATTAGTTTTTTTATTCTGTCGCCTATAGAGTTGAATTAAGTAAGTAAAATATATATTAAAAAGTGACTAAGAAAAATTCCTTTAAATCAATATTGATGAGTACATGTTAAAAAAATCACCAATTTGCCTAAAAGTCTCTTTGGCAGCACGAGCCGCATACACCCACACGTCTGCTGAGTGTTTGAGCAGCCTTCCTCGCGCCTTCGGTTGCCAGCCGATGCGCTGAAGTGGGCGTCTCTCGTTGCCGCAGGCCGGGGCGCTGCCGGCGTTCGACTCGCGGTGCGCGGCGGAGGGCCCGGCGCACTGCCCGGTGACGACGTTCGCGCGCCAGGCGCCGCCCGACCAGCTCAGCAAGCCCGCCACCTACCTCACGCTGGCGCTGCCCTTCGGCTACAAGCTGGTGCCCGCCGACAACGCCACCGCCGCGGGACTCGTCGGTGAGTACGCCAAGGAGACGTGGAGGCCACACGCCAACGGGCGATCAGGTTGCTGGCTTTCCTTCGCAAGGACCTGGGTTTGATCCCGTCCAACACCCCGCCCGACCCTCCATCCGATTGATTGATTGATTAGCGAATCCGAGCGCGCCAACTGAGAAGGTCTTTAGTCCCGAAAATGTAGTGCATGCTATTTATCGCTGGATGTGGCGGTGATCTTCCCTTGCTGGATGCCGAGATCTGGCGCTTGAATCCCGCCGGCTTGTGGGTTTTTTCCCCAATCAGATATTCTCCACCAGCGTGGCACCGCCCGAGACGGAACAAGCTCTAAGCTCCCGATATATGAGTAGTGTGAGTGTACGTGTGTATAAGAGTAAGGATAGGACCAGGAAGAGGAAGGGAAGGTCGCGCGCGGTTCGAGGCCCGTTTGTTCGGGATCTGCCCCGGCACTCGCTTGGTGTTGATCGGAGAAACCACTGAAATCTACTGATCTGAGAAGCCGCCTGCTAGATAACTCCCCTCCAGATAGCGGTTGCATTCGGCCTAACTGTCTAGCTAGTGTCGAAAATCCTGTCACCGTCTGAAATCGAACCCTAGGACCTCCTGGCCAGAGGCACTGCAGGGACATCAGTTGATGCCCTGAGCCACCTTTGCCGGTGAACATGCGTTTTAAAACTATAACAAATTATCAGAAAGGATTATGTTTCGTCATCATGGCCACACTATTGTTATCAATCATCTCATGGAGTAGCAAAGGCGCACAACCACTTTTGGTGGTGGTCTATTTCGGCGTTGTCCATGGTGGAAAACTAAGACGAAAAATACATTTTAACTGAAGGGGTCGGCGAAAGCGTATCGCGGGAATGGTGTACATTTGCTGAAACTTCAATTATAATGCAATCACTGAATCAGGCGGACTGAATTGCAGACAGTTCGATCGTGGGTCCCGATTCTGCTGGCCCTAATGACGCGTTTCGCGATGCATGAATGAAGGAATTAGCCCAGATGTGCCCGTCTCAGACATGACTAGGCACTCTTTGTAAAAGGACGCATGAAATGTTGCTTGAGAATTGGACACGTTGGCATGTAATGGGCAGTCATCAATATCACTTTACACCCTCTACATTTCGCAGTTTGAAATACTACCAAAAAAAACAACCCACAAATAGAACTACTTTTCTTCATCGTCATTGTCATCGTCATTGGGCATTTTACATATTGTAGTGGTTATCGCGAGGATGAATTCCGTAGCGTAGTGGTTTCGGTGTTAGTCGCGAGCTACGAGATCTACGGGGTCGAACCCTGCCTGAGCATGAATTTTTGCTTCAGCGTTGTGACATGGTGGGGCTTGACCCAACCACCATGTCTCACCTTCAATACTCCATTCTCTCCACAGGCCGTTCCCTGCCCGAATAATATGTGAAGATTATAAGGGATGAATGTGACTGCCTGCGTGCCAGGAGGGGAAAGCTCTTCAATAGGCTTCAGGGCGGTAACGCGAGGGCCTCCTGGCCGCGTCACAAAACCTTTTTGCACCTACTTATGAAAGGGTTAGAGTGTCGCCACGGGCTCATGTGCCTCAAGCGGAGTTAGAGGTATGTTAGTATAGTTACGCCAGAGACACTTTCGTGCGAGTTGCATACATTATTTTTAATACGACTGCAAAGAGACTTACAAGTTTATTACCGGGAAAGCGTTCTCTACTTGCGAGGTGGCAGCAATGTTGATTCAAATCCTCACAGTGCTTCGTTTATTTTGAAGTATTGTTGGACTGTTGTACCCAAGTTGGCGGGTTCAAACCCGATCGAAGCCGTGGATTTTTAAAGGCGAAAAAATCCTTCGTACGCCTTCCTTCGGAGGGGAAGTAAAGCCGGCTGTCCCATGTTCGTAGATTTACTTGCATGTAAAAGATCCTCAAGCCTAAATGACGCCTCTGAGCTAAATTCAAATCGCCTGTTTCTCGCCCAAGAAATACCTTCTTTCTCTGCTATATGAAAGGAGCGTAGCGAAATTTGAGTGGTCAGACGGAAGGGCGGACCTGATGGCCCGAGTCTCGCCACGTAAAATAAGGCATATTCAGTTCAATTCAAAAAAGTATTCAGTTGTTTTATAAGGCCATGATCCCATTGTGAATCTCTACTTTGCCTTCGCGAAGAGCCGATCAGTAAAAAGTAAAATGTAAGTACTATTTTCCATTCACGAGTGCTGAAAAATCTATTTATGAAATATTTGTCACTGACGTAATTGTATTTTTCTATAGACGGTATTTTTGTGATGATATTAACAAGTTTGGGGAAAAAATTAATTCAGTCATTTCTTACCAGAAAATATACTTCATCAACATTTAGAAACTGAAAAACAAGGTACGTTAATGATTTCAACCAAACGTAATATTAGGTTTGATGGACAAAAGCATGTATGGCATTCTGAAATAACTTTTTAATCCAATGATTTTGAAGACTGTGTTGTGGAGGTACATGCATTATTATCGTTTGTTTCAAATGTTGTGCATCTTAAATCGCACTTGACCTTAATAAATGGAGTGGTTGAGCAAATTGAGTACCAAAAGTTGAGATTTGCTTTTTTCATCTCAAAGTGATGTAATTACCAAGGCTAATGCAATGCTATTGGCTCTGAAAGTCAAAACCTTTGGAATTAGTTACAATTTGCTACCAAACGCGGCGCGATTGTATTTACCTTCTGTGAACTTCAGACAGTTTTTTCCTGTTTCCTAGAGTTCTTGTTTTCGGTACTTAGATCAATATGCTCGATCACTCTACAAATATTTTAAGTGTGCTGCGTAACATTTAGCCTGTAAACAGGAAATGACTACACAATGTTAATACATGAATTCCAGGGTACATTAATTCCTAATTTCCGGAAATTATTCATCCAACTCATTTATGTGTTTAGTGCTATGTATGATCACGGCGCTTATTGTCTCAAAATATATTTTTACGCACAACATTTGGAATAAAGTAAGTCCTTTTCTGTACACGTAGAAATGTTCTCTATCACATTATCATGTTTTGGATTGAAATATATCCAAAGGTACAATTATTTTAATTGAAATCTCGGACAAACAAGAGCCTGGACTGATTTCCTTTAAACTGGATTTCTCTCTTTCCGCCTCACACGAATTTCAGCAACACTTTTAATCTTTTAGAATCCCAGTTAGTGTTCTTGTTTTTGTATTTTCGATTTGCATCGCATCTAATCATATTCTAAATATCAACTTCCCTCTAGAACGTTTTGTGCGAATTTCGACGAGGCCTGCTTAGCATCCTTTAGAGTTTTCTACCCTGCCTCCTTTCCATTGCGCCACTTGCTGAAGCGAAGAAACCGGTTGTACATTCCATTGATTTCTTATAGGCAGGTGCTGTAAACTCTTGAAGTAATGGAGTGAATAGCATTACAACTGGCTATGACGAAAGGAAATTATTAGTGCATTAGTGATTTCATTACAATGCAACAACCTACAAAACACTCTTCATGTGTTGTTGCGATGACTAAATGCTGGTTTGGCATAAGAATATCATAAAAATATCGGAGTAACACTAACACGGAACTGATGATCTATTTAATGTCTTTCAAATGCACTTCTAAGCCAATATTTCTTTCCATATTTTCGTAATGGGGAAGAAATAATAAGAAGAACGGTTCTCAGTGTCAGAAAAACTACGAGGTGTAAATTATATGGCCTTAATGTTATTGAAATTAGATGTTGCTACTACACGCTAGGTAGGTACTTTATACTTGCATTAAAATATTTTAAAAACATTAAAAATGATATCTTTCGTACACTACGGCGACTTTACAAAGGGTCAGTAATGAGGTGTGAAGCAGAACGACATACAAAGTTGACAATTGAACGATGAACGATGAAATAGTGCTTCTTGCATCTCTGAGCTTGCTGCGGTGGCGATCGTGTAACGGTTAGCGTGTCGGACTGTTGTACCCAAGTTCGCAGATCGAAGCCGTTGACTTTTAAGGGCGAAAAAATCCTTCGTACGTTTGCCTTCGGAGGGGAAGTAAAGACGGCTGTCCCATATTAGAAGATTTACTACATGTAAAAGATCCTCAACCCTAAATGAAGTCTCTGAGCTAAAGTCCAAACGCCTGTTTCGTTGCCCAAAAATTACCTCCTTTCTCTTCTAGTTGGTGAAAGGAGCGTAGCGAAATTTACGTGGTCAGGTAGAAGAGAAGACCTCATGGCCTGGGTCTCGGCACGGAAAATAAGGCATCAATTCAATTCAATTCAATTCAATTCAATTCAATTCAATTCAATTCAATTCAATTCAATTCAATTCAATTCAATCATTTTCTGATGACGTGCCGGTATCAATTGTGTAGTAAGCCACATTAACGTCAGAATCATTTCATGTTTTTCGTTTATGAATTTTAACCATCTTGAAAATATGGATAACAAAATTTCGAAAACTAACCAGTCTGAACATTTTAAATTACTTCAAATTTTGACCTAACTGTATTAAATTAAAAATTGTTTTGACCTAACTGTATTAAATCAAAATTTTTTGACCTTACTGTATTAAGTCAAAATTGTTTTGACCTAACTGTATTAAGTCAAAATTGTTTTGACCTAACTGTATTAAGTCAAATTGTTTTGACTTTACTGTCTTAAGTCAAAATTTTTTGACCTAACTGTATTAAGTCAACATTGGCATCGCCATCGTAAGAGTATGAACACACGTAATCCCCTTACGACGCTCACCTCACTTCCTCTCGGTGGCGACGTGAGTGAATCGCGTGGTGGAAGGAGAAGCGGAAACGAAGTGCGGCGCTTGCAGCGGAAGGAACGCGACGCGACACCACGCAACGCAACGCAACGCGACGCAACGCTGCGGTCCAACGCAGCGGCGAAGTTCGCCTCCGCGGGCGGTGCCACGCCGCTGCGCGCCCCACATATTCCCCCGTCGCACTCCGGCAGCGCCGCGCCTCGCCACGCGGAGAGTTTCACTTTCTTAGGAGGCGGTGGGGGGGGG